AGTTCAAAACAAGTGCAAATCATTGAAGTGCTCTGTTCACACTGATAACAGCTTGTGGATAAAAACTGTTAGCGTAACGAGATGTCCTGCATCTCAGAGAGCGATATCTTCTGCCAGAGGGAAGAAGCTGGAACATGGCTTTCCCAGGGTGGCCAGAAGAGTCATTAACAATCCTAAGAGCTTTGTTTAAAAGTCTGGATTGATAAAGAACCTCCAGAACAGGAAGCTCACAGCCCACGGTCCTCTTTGCAGAGCGGAGCACCTTGTTTAAAGCTCTCTTTTCTTTATTTGTGATGTTTCCAAACCACACAGACACAGAACCAACAAGTAAACTCTCAATGGTGCAGCGATAAAAGTTAAGCACAATCTTAGAGTTAGTGGTAAATTCTCTAAGATTACGCAGAAGGTAGAGACGCTGACGAGCTTTCTTAACAACTCGGTCAGTGTTTTTAACCCATTTCAGATCGTTAGACAGAGTTAAACCCAGAAACTTGCACTCCTCTACGATCTGCACCTGGGAGTTGTCGATTACGACAGGCAAATGAGAACTATTGCGACTGAAGTCGTGACCAGTTCACATGTTTTGGATGCGTTCAACTGGAGGTTGTTAGTTTGACTCCACTGAACCACATTTAGTATCTCTGCTCTATAAGAGGATTCATCAGTGTCACTGATGAGACCGATGATGGTGGTGTCATCAGCATATTTAATGATCAAGTCAGAGGAGGACACACAATCGTGAGTGTACAAAGTAAAAAGCAAAGGACTCAAAATACATCCCTGAGGAGAACCAGTGCTCACAGAAACAACATCAGAAAAACACTCATTGATTTTCACTCTCTGAGATCTGTCAGTTAAAAAGCTAAAAATCCATTTACACATGGCAACACTTAAACCGAGAGACATGAGCTTTTCAATCAGTTTACCTGGGACAAGGCAGTTTAAAGCAGAGCTATAATCGATGAAAAGCATTCTGGCCACAGATTTACTAGTGTCCAAGTGACTGTAGACAGATTTCAGAGCAAAGGAGATGGCATCCTCCACACTCCTGTGCTGTCTGTAGCAAACTGGAGCGGGTATGACATTTATCAACATGTATGACATTTATCAACATGTATGACATTTATCAACATGTATGACATTTATCAACATGTATGACATTTATCAACATGTATGAGCATTTATCAACATGTATGGACATTTATCAACATGTATGGACATTTATCAACATGTATGACATTTATCAACATGTATGGACATTTATCAACATGTATGACATTTATCAACATGTATGGACATTTATCAACATGTATGGACATTTATCAACATGTATGACATTTATCAACATGTATGACATTTACCAACATGTATGACATTTATCAACATGTATGGACATTTATCAACATGTATGGACATTTACCAACATGTATGGACATTTATCAACATGTATGACATTTATCAACATGTATGACATTTATCAACATGTATGACATTTATCAACATGTATGACATTTATCCACATGTATGACATTTATCAACATGTATGACATTTATCAACATGTATGACATTTATCAACATGTATGACATTTATCAACATGTATGACATTTATCAACATGTATGACATTTATCCACATGTATGACATTTATCCACATGTATGGACATTTATCAACATTCATGGACATGATGATGATGATAATGATGATGAAGATAATGAAGATGATGATAATGATGATGATGAAGATGATGATAATGATGATAATGATGATAATGATGATGATGAAGATGATGATATGATGATAATGATGATGATGAAGATGATGATAATGATGTTGATGATGATGATGAAGATGATGATAATGATGAAGACGAAGATGATGATGATGATAATGATGGTGATGATGAAGAAGAAGATGATAATGATGAAGAAGAGGATGATGATGATGATGGCAGCAGCAGCAGTAGCACAGCTCTGGGCAGGATATCCTCCTGCTGCTGCTGATAACCGGTTTTCCTGCTCAGGGCGCGGCCACAGTTATCAGGACACACCCGAGAGTAAAGGTCTGTGTGGAATGTAGCTGATAAGAGTCAGAACTATGATAACCATCCTGCTGTGTTTGTTTTGCAGTCTGACACTTGGCAGAACGTCTCTCTGCAGACAATACCCAGTGCTCTGGAGCAGGCAGCTGCGACTCATACTTCAGGAGGGAGTGTCTGCTCTGCACCCAACGCCTCATACCTGCGTGGAACATGAGTGACAGCCCAGAACAACAGTCTGACCTTGAACCTGCTTCAGTGTTTGACAGTAATCGCTATGAAGGAACGATTAGAGGTTAATCTACTACTAATCTACTTCCGGGTGGATCATCAAGACTATTAGTCCTCCCACTTGTCAATCATTCTGATGATATGTGCTCATCCAAAAAGACTAGATATTTTTTCCTAACCTGGAGACGGCGATTCTTTTTTAACGATTGGGATAATCCTCCTTTATACCTTTAAGTTAACATTTATTTCATTTATTTGTATAGCACAGTTCATGCACAAGGAAACTCAAAGGGCCGAACAAAACAAGGGTTAGGGCTACATAGATAGATAGATACTTTATTCATCCCCGTAGGAGAAGTTTAGGTGTCCAGTAGCAACAAAAATAAAAATAAAAAAATAAATTAAGTAATAATAATAAAAGTAATAGTAATAGTAAACAATAGTAATAATCAGCAACAGCCCTTCAGGTCACAGCAGCAGAGGTGGAGTAGCCTCTGGGTGGAGCAGGACGGGTCACAGCAGCAGAGGTGGAGCCGCTTGGCTCAGACCATTTTCTCTGCTCTGGTCCAAAGTAAAATGCTAAATGCTTCATTAGCATTTTTCAAAAAGTCAGCATTCCTTCAGTGGATTATTGCCTGATACACTTGGTTTGGACCATGAATCCTCTGCTCTGGTCTGGACCAGTGTAAAACCATGAATCCTCTCTGCTCTGGTCTGGACCAGTGTAAAACCATGAATCCTCTCTGGTCTGGTCTGGACCAGTGTAAAACCATGAACACTGAACTGCAACAAAATCTCAGGCAGAAAAAAGCAATACAAATATAACAACAAAACAACAACTGTTTCAGAGCTACTTAGACCTGCAGCTGTTTTCCAGCGCATTCAAAACAAAAAAAAACATATAAACATAAATAATCACAAAACATAAAGAATAAAGATACAATCCTTCAGATTATTCTGTGTGAACATGACTGACTCTGAGGCAGAAGAACAGACTGTGAACATCAGAGGCCGGTTTCATCCTAAAGTGTTATCGTATTATCCAGACTATAAACATTATAGGATTATAAGTGTGAAAAGAAAAAGAAGTGAGTCTCAGACAGTTTGAAGAAAGGAGCAACATCCACTGGTTTCTGTTCACTTTCGTGTCTGATACAATGAACCAAAAACTATTTATTAAATGAGATATTTACACAAAAAATGTATAAATGAGGACTTTTAAACTTTATTTTATCTGCTTGGTTCACAAATCATTGATGAACTAATCATCAAATCTGTTGCTCGACTGCTACTAACCTAAAGGAACTCTTTACTAATGCTAAGTGTGTGTATGTGCGTGTGTATCTGTGTGGGTATCTGTGTGTGTCTTTCTAACAAACTTTGAAACAGTGTGATTTTCTGATAGAAGTGTGTTCACTTGTATCTTTCCAACGCTCAAACTAAGGAGATATTTAAAATCTAAAGACAGTGTCTTTACTGAGAATGATGTGAAAACCTGTCTGTGTGTGTTCAGCTCAGAGTGCTGCCCCTAGGGGTGGGAAGAGGACATAACAGGGACTGAGTCTGTGACTTCAGTGAATGAAGATTAATTTAATTTGTTTACTGCCTGTTGTGACATGAAGGCAACCTGTTTGGACTGAGACACATAGGACACAGAGACACAGAGAGACAGAGGACACAGAGACACAGAGAGGCAGAGAGGACACAGGACACAGAGAGGCAGAGAGGACACAGAGACAGAGGACAGAGGACACAGAGACAGAGAACACAGAGACAGAGGACAGAGACAGAGGACACAGACAAAAAGGACACAAAGACAGAGGACACTGAGACAGAGACAACAGTGATGGGTCGTCCTGTTTGTATCAGTGCCATATAAACCATGTGGCTGGACACGTGTACGTGATACTTAAATAACATTTCATTTAAACTGGTGCTGATTCTACACATGTCACAGAAGTATGCGCAGCAGGTGTGTCAGATTCTCCAGAGTACATTCCTCTGTGATCACAGCTGGTATGAAGCGGCCGCACCTGTTCTCCTGCTCTGGAATGAAGTACGTTTCTCACCTGCAGCCACAGCATTCTCCTCCACAAGATGGAGCTGTTACATTCTACACATTCCATCCTCTTGACCAGCAGGTGGCGCACGAGTTCAGACTCACATCTTCAAAGATTTAATATTTAGTCTATGGTCAGGCCTGAAGTCATGGAGACTGCAGTAAATATCTAATACTGATGCATTAACTAAGCTTTGTCCAATCAGTCTGCTCCACAAACGTTCATCTTCAAACTAAACTCCTCTGGTCACTAAACTTGTTCATATTTTAGTTGAAATTAAGAGTCTGAGATTAACCTTTGATGTCACAACTTCATGCGTCTACTTTTCACTAATATTCACCAAGTTTAAATTAAAGCAAAGAGTTTGGGGGTTTTGAAATTTTATTTGAAAGATCATGCAGTGCACTTATGGAAAGAAGTTGTTTCAATGATACATATGAAAACCAAAGGTATAATCCACTAGTACAAAACGTAACTAAACATTACAGGAATGTAACAAATTAAATAGAATAAAAAAAGAAACCAAAGCGTGCAACACACTGCTGCCGCACTGCAGATCTTTAAAAGACAATGAGAGGTTCGTGGTTATAACCCTGCTGTCAATACAAAAAACATCTTACAGGATCAACTAGACAAAAAGCAATAAATTACTTTCTTCAAGTGTTTGTGCGTTTACTGTGGAAACTGCGGGGGCATGGGGTAGGGCACCAGTGGGGGGGGAGGGTGCTGCTGTCCCTGGGGCTGGTTGAAGGGGAAGGGTGGGTGACTATTGCCATTCTGAGCGGGCCCCTTTGGGCCCCCAAACGGTTGTGGCTGGAAGCCATTTTGAGCCCCAAAGTTTCCTGGTTGGTTGTTGAAGTTAGACTGTCCGTTTCCGTTGTAGCCAAAGTTGTTGCCGCCTCCAAAGCCTCCATTTTGGGTGTTTGAGCCAAAGCTTTTATTAGGTCCTCCATCGTATCCTCTGTTGTTGTCCCGGTCCCTAAAACTACCAAAATCACGCTTGCCTGAATACCTATCGCGCCGGTCATCTCTGAAGCCGCCACCTCTCCCGCCCCTTGAACGACCTGAAAAACACACGCATCATGAAAGGAGCGCCAACGCCACAGAAACACCCAGAGAAGTAAACCACCACTTTGACCAAAGGGCGGCAGAATAGAAAAGGTGCTGCTTCTGCAGCACAGATTCTGTCTCTCACCAATTAGATTTACCTCCTCTGTCCTCAGCCATCTGGAGGAGCTTGGGGTTGATTGCTTGGTTGGCTTCACGGAGCACAGAGATGAGGTCGCCCGCTTGTTTGAAGTTGTTGGGGGTGAAGAAGGTGTAGGCGGTGCCAGTCTTTTCACTACGTCCTGTTCGGCCAATGCGGTGGATATAGTCCTCAGAGTTGTTGGGGTAGTCAAAGTTGATGACAAATTTGACGTCTTCAACATCTGTAAGATTGTGCCGTGGCATAGAGGAGCAATAGAGCAGCACAGAAGTGCCAATGCCACCACACCAGATCAGAAAGTCCAAGTTAGAACAGACATTACATGTTGTCAACACGCTAGTTTCTTCTCGGAAGAATGCAAACTCCAGTCACTTCGTTCCAGTTAAACCTTTATAGAATCCTTACCAGTGTGGAGTATGCATCCCCACTGCTGCTCTAAGCTATCGCTTCTGACACTACTGCGCACGTTTACACTGAAGCTTGACGACCTACTCTGGCCAGCATTAGACTGTCCCTGTGATACTCTAGTCTCTCGTTGGCAGGTCTCGACATGACTTTGAAACGCAGGTGAGGGAGGAGTGCGAGCTTGGATTTAGCCATTTAGTGTCCATCTAGCATGTCCCACTGTCACCAAAAGCGCCAGTAGCCATGTCTGTACAGAGGTGAAGGCATGATCGATACTGTTCCTCGGACAAAAGTTTCACTGCCACCCAAGACACAAGCCTCCAACAGGCTCAAACCACTTGCACTGGTCACATGCAAGTCTAGGTGTGTAGCTGGGCTGAGCGCCTGGGCGTGTGAGCAGTCCAAACCCTTGCCAGAGCACAAGCATTTCAATGAACCAGTTAGTGTAGCCAGCCATCAAACCGCCCTGCACTTTAGGCACAGGCCGAGGCGTTTTGCTTCGTTTGAGCCTGGTCACCTCTGTATGAGCATTGACTGAGAGAGCGAGCCTCTCCAGTCAGGACACCACCAAGAATCCTCCTTCCCCCTCTGGAGACCTGGGCTTGTCATGCCAAGGCCCTGCCACACAGACTGCTCCTTCAGCCGAGGGGAGAAACTCAGAAAGCAGACAAGTTAAAGAAAGCAATACACTTTCTTTTACAACAATGTGTGTAAGAACCAACGTGTTCAGGTCGGATACTGACCTAGACCTCGGGAAGCTACATCTGTCGCAATTAGGATGGGTGCTTTTCCATATTTGAACTCTGAAATTTAATAGTGAGAATGTCAGAAAAAGTCAGACATGCAAGAACCATAAGTGTACAAGCGGCTCACCATTGAGGACCCAGTCTCTCTCTTGCTGACTTTTGTCTCCGTGGATGCCCATAGCTGGCCACCTGCGAGACCAGAGTTCACATTAGTTCCACTTTCAGACTGGTCCAGGTCTAATGCAGAGCTTTGGTACATACCCATCTCTGCGCATCCTCCTGGTCAAGTCATCACAACGCCTCTTTGTCTCCACAAAAATAATAGTCTTGTTTTCCTTCTCACTCATAATTTCCTCCAAGAGACGAATAACTCTTAAAAAATAAATACAAATAAAATAAAAAACAGACCAAATGTATAAAAACCACTCAAACACAGAGTTTTCAGTGTCTACACAGCGGCTCTTACTTGTCTTCCTTTTCACCGTCGCTACAAACATCTACGATCTGCAGGATGTTGTGGTTAGCGCTGAGCTGCAGAGCCCCAACATTGATCTGAACATATTCTTTGAGGAAGTCCTCTGCCAGCTGCCGCACCTCCTTCGGCCAGGTGGCGCTCCACATCAGGGTTTGACGGTCCGGCTGTGGACACATTCACTTTAACATAGGGAAACTTAAAAAGGAGTTAAAACTAAAGCAAGGCAATTGACTCACTCTAATTTGATCGACAATTTTCCGGATTTGCGGTTCAAATCCCATGTCCAACATTCTGTCAGCTTCATCCAGGACGAGGTAAGTGCAGCGGCGAAGGTTGGTCTTTCCAGATTCAAGGAAGTCGATGAGTCTGCCCGGGGTCGCAATGCAGATCTCCACACCTACACACAACACATAATAGTTAAGACAACAACAAAGGTTAGGGTTAGGATTCAGTTTGACCTGTAGACCAGACCTCTTTCCAGATCTCGGATTTGGGGTCCTTTGGGCGCTCCTCCATAGATACAGGTTGATTTGAGACGAGACGCTCTGCCATATTCTGCAGCCACCTGTTGGACCTGCTGGGCCAACTCCCGGGTCGGAGCCAGAACCAAGCACTGCAATAACCAGTGGTTAGTGAGAAACTGGACGGTGAGAGTCATGTTAATGCATCGGGCGTTTACTTACAATGGGCCCATCTCCACGCTCCAGAAACGGTTGGTGGTTAATGTGTACAATAGCAGGCAGAAGATACTATTAAGAAAAATAAAATCATTCTCACTTCCAGAAGTGTTTACTTTAAAATGTTGTAGAGGTAAAATCTTACCGATAAAGTCTTTCCAGAACCTGTCTGAGCGATGCCCACCATGTCTTTCCCACTGAGCGCCAGTGGCCAACCCTGAGCCTGGATGGGAGTTGGTTCAGTCCAGTTCTGTTTGTTGATAACGTCCATTACATAGGCTGAAGAAGTCAATGGTACAGATTACAGTATGACGAAAACCATGTAGAGACTACCTATGTTCAAACTATAAGTAACTTACAAGGAAAACTGGCTTCGGTGAACCGTAAAAGTGGGGTTGGACAGTCCCTGCCTTTTACTGTAATGGCTTTAGTCTCTCTGTACTGCTGGACTTCTTGCTGTAACAGAACATCAGATTGTTGGACGAGGCCTCACACGTGCAGCAGCAACACGTGCCCTGAGGCTGTTGCATAATATTTTTATGAGCCTCACTTTTGCTCAACTTACCAAAGACCTGCGGCCCACATCTGGGTGCTGCTGGTAGAAGTTCTTCTCAAACTTTGGCAGCTCGTCCAAATTCCAGTGTTTTTTCCGTAATCTTTCGCCTGGATTCCCAAACTTCCCACCGCCGCCTCCTCCGCGGTTTCCCCCAAAACGAGCTCCTCCGCCGCCATAGCTGCAACACCACGTTTACAGAATTAGAATTCACAGAAACAGAACAAAGCCTCAGGATCCACGGAGAAACAGATGAGTCGCGGATCAGCGCAAATGTAAAATGGCAGATCCTGAACAGACAAAAGATCCGGCATTTTGTTTCCACGTCCACACGCGGAGAAAAGCTATAACCCGTTTTACACAGACGCATTATTCTGAACAGCAACATGAGAAGTTTGAGGACATGTCAACACTGTAAGTAGCAGACAGAACCAACACCCGCTGAAATAAGTGCATTTCACTGCATTTTGATCAAAGGCCGCGGCGAGACTCCAGCCCGTGACGATGACAACACACGGAGCTGCTTAAACTACACAGAAAACAGACCATGGATTATGTTTATGACTGCGGCTAATGTGGAGTCTCAAATGTTATATACTTTATATACAGCCAATTCATCAAAGTTAGTCACACTTCGTCACAGTTAGCATGTAGCTACCGGTTAGCCACAGTTAGCATGTAGCTTCAGAAGCTAACAGCGGGAGTGAGGGCACGAGGCCAGACTAGGCCACAGCCACAGGCTTCAGACGAGGCCCAGGCCACAGCGGAGGAAACACGGCCACAGCCGTTAACTCAGACTCCGTGACGGGGCTGAGAGAGACACCCGTGTGTTAAACATAAATATAAACTAGTTTATTTCAGTGTTTATCATCCACTTCACACTCACCCTCCTCTGTCGCGGTCCCGGTCTCCTCCTCTGCGGTCGCGGTCTCTGTCAGAGTATCCGGGCATGTTGTAGAGAGTAAAGAGTGGATTTAAGGTGAATATAAATGCTAAAAGTTAGAGCTGATCTGTGCACACGCCCTGACCGGCTGTTGGGAAAGACCGGTACTGAGGAAATGAGCAGCGGATTATATCACATCAAGAAGACGCTTCACCTCATATCCCTCCGCCGACAAAAAACAGCTGTGATTGGTCAAGGAAAGCAACAACAGCTGGGATTGGTCCATCCATCCGCGCAGTGTTTTTGTCTCTGCTTACATCAGAATCAGAACAATTTCTGTTGCTTACACTAAATATTTAGTCTGCTGTAGTCACACTAACCCTAGACTATAGTGACGCTACAGAACCTTTACTGAGGCATTTTTTATTCTGCTATTATTAACTTTATTATGATGACCTGTTTTATGTAACTTTCTAATGAGCCTAGGGTGCATCCATTATATGAATTAAAATCTAAACGAGATTTGTTTGCCCCTAATGTTAAGGATGTATACAAATTACATAAAAAGATCGAGGCAAATCTGAGCAAAAAAAATCTACAGCAAATGAGAACATCTTCAAAGAGACACACACATAAAACATATTACAAATACTACTTTACAATAATAATGTAAAAATATACATAATATATATTGATATGTTTATTCCCCAGTATAACGTGAAGCGAATGACGCACTTGTTGAGAATCTGTTGGGCCTATATCTTGTTTATGTTCTGGCGGACTAACATGTGAAGGATCGAAACCTGTGATGCAGCTCACGTTACAGTAAGTGACGTCACTAGGGACGTCCCAACGATTTGTTTCCAGACACAACGCATGTTTCTGATAATGTAAACAACACAGACTGCTCTAGACAGAGGCAGAGACAGAGGCAGAGACAGAGGCAGAAACAGAGGCAGAGACAGAGACAGAGACAAAGACAGGACAGAGGCAGAGACAGAGGCAGAGACAGAGGCAGAGACAGAGGCAGAGACAGAGGCAGAGACAGAGACAGAGACAAAGACAGGACAGAGGCAGAGACAGAGGCAGAGGCAGAGACAGAGGCAGAGACAGAGGCAGAGACAGAGGCAGAGACAGAGACAGAGACAAAGACAGGACAGAGGCAGAGACAGAGACAGAGACATAGGCAGAGACAGAGGCAGAGACAGGACAGAGGCAGAGACAGAGACAAGACAGAGACAGAGACTGAGACAGAGAGACATAGACAGAGACAGGACAGAGGCAGAGAGACATAGACAGGACATAGACAGAGACAGGACATAGACAGAGACAGAGACAGGACATAGACATAGACAGAGACAGAGACAGGACATAGACAGAGACAGAGACAGGACATAGACAGAGACAGAGACAGAGGCAGAGGCAGAGACAGAGGCAGAGACAGAGACAGAGACAGAGACAGAGGCAGAGGCAGAGACAGAGGCAGAGGCAGAGGCAGAGACATAGGCAGAGACAGAGGCAGAGACAGGACAGAGGCAGAGGCAGAGGCAGAGGCAGAGGCAGAGACAGAGACAGAGACAGAGACATAGGCAGAGACAGAGGCAGAGACAGGACAGAGGCAGAGACAGAGACAGAGACAAGACAGAGACAGAGACTGAGACAGAGAGACATAGACAGAGACAGGACAGAGGCAGAGAGACATAGACAGAGACAGAGACAGGACATAGACAGAGACAGAGACCGAGGCAGAGGCAGAGACAGAGGCAGAGGCAGAGACAGAGGCAGAGACAGAGACAGAGACAGAGACAGAGGCAGAGACAGAGGCAGAGGCAGAGGCAGAGACAGAGACAGAGAGACAGAGACAGAGACAGAGGCAGAGGCAGAGGCAGAGGCAGAGGCAGAGGCAGAGGCAGAGGCAGAGGCAGAGACAGAGGCAGAGGCAGAGACAGAGGCAGAGACAGAGACAGAGACAGAGGCAGAGACAGAGGCAGAGGCAGAGACAGAGGCAGAGACAGAGGCAGAGGCAGAGACAGAGGCAGAGGCAGAGACAGAGGCAGAGACAGAGACAGAGGCAGAGGCAGAGACAGAGGCAGAGGCAGAGGCAGAGACAGAGACAGAGAGACAGAGACAGAGGCAGAGACAGAGGCAGAGACAGAGACAGAGGCAGAGGCAGAGGCAGAGGCAGAGACAGAGACAGAGAGACAGAGACAGAGACAGAGACAGAGGCAGAGGCAGAGACAGAGGCAGAGACAGAGGCAGAGGCAGAGGCAGAGACAGAGGCAGAGACAGAGGCAGAGGCAGAGACAGAGGCAGAGGCAGAGACAGAGACAGAGACAGAGGCAGAGACAGAGGCAGAGGCAGAGGCAGAGACAGAGGCAGAGACAGAGGCAGAGACAGAGGCAGAGACAGAGACAGAGGCAGAGACAGAGGCAGAGGCAGAGACAGAGACAGAGAGACAGAGACAGAGACAGAGGCAGAGACAGAGGCAGAGACAGAGACAGAGGCAGAGGCAGAGGCAGAGGCAGAGACAGAGACAGAGAGACAGAGACAGAGACAGAGACAGAGACAGAGGCAGAGGCAGAGGCAGAGACAGAGGCAGAGACAGAGGCAGAGGCAGAGACAGAGGCAGAGACAGAGACAGAGGCAGAGGCAGAGACAGAGGCAGAGGCAGAGGCAGAGACAGAGACAGAGAGACAGAGACAGAGACAGAGGCAGAGACAGAGGCAGAGGCAGAGGCAGAGACAGAGACAGAGAGACAGAGAGACAGAGACAGAGACAGAGGCAGAGACAGAGGCAGAGGCAGAGGCAGAGGCAGAGACAGAGACAGCCCGATATATTCAAAACCGTTGAACAAAAAGAGCATCATAGCTTTTCTCAAACTGATGAAGTGAAATGTGTGAAACTGGGCGTTGACCCAAAGACCATCAGCTTCAGTGTGATGCAAACGTCGTCACAGCCGAGGGACAGAGCTTTGTGCAGAAGGAGTCGCTCAAAATTTAAATATAAAGAATCTAAAGATCTGTGGATTCTGTTTAGCTTCTGGTTTGAACTGTAGCAACATTTGAGTTATTATATATATATATATGGAAAAAAACACCTAACCCTAAAAAAATTTCTAACGAAAGGTTTCTCAGATGTAGTATTAGATGTCCTTAATAACTTACTAAAAGTTTACCAAAGTTTGATCACTAGAAAAGAGTAATTTTCAAGATGGCGTCCAAGATGGGCCGGAAGCCCTTAACTTATCCTAACTCGTTCATTATTTGACCTAGCCAGGTAATCTTGGGGTCTAACCCCATGTTTTCTGGGTCTATAAATCCATTGGACTTGTCTAAATTGCGCTGAGATTAAAACATAATTATGGAATAGTATTCCATAATTATGTTTTAATCTCAGCGCAATTTAGACAAGTATTAGTATTCCAGGAATACACAGTTTTGTGATATAACTGTAAGGTTTTATCTTTGGGGTGAACCATTCTGAAGTCCTAAAGGAAGTGATAAACTTGCCCCGTTTAAAACTATTTGCGTAAAAGGACGACATCTTCCATGGACTAGCTCTGACTTAAATCCACCCTGTGTAATTTTTACAGCTGCTCCATATGAAAAAACATGTTAACTAATAACAAATGTGACCTTTTTAAGAACATTTAGTTCTACTGCTAAGATGAGCTTAGCCCTGTCCTGCCGCGGCTGTGTATGTCGTGCTTCTCTGATCATCGTAGTTTTAAGCTCCTGCAGACGTTATTCCTCCATGTGTCTCTTCTCTTCACACCACGTTTGTAAAACTATATATCATAATACATCCATAGTAAATCTCAGTAGAGCCTCTGTGCAGCGGGTGCCGCTTCAGAACGTGGTCTTGTTTACAGGTCGCCTCTATGCGACTGTCAAGTGCACGAGACGTTTGGAGAGATCCGGTCATTTATCCGACTAAAACATTCTTTCCTTGGCAGTCGGTGAATGACTGAGAGTTGAGGAGCTCTGTCAAAGACACATACTTTCTATCAAAGGCTTCCATAGTAACTTGTAACTTGGACTGCAATGTAAGATCTCAACGCTAGATGGCAATGAAAATTACACAGTGTACTTTTAATTAATCTTTTTAAACGTTGAGACCAAGCTTGGACTAAATACGGAGAGTCTAAGGACCCTAACGACTGGGAGATCTATAGACAACTCAGGAATCAATCTAAAACCCAAACTAGGAATGCCAAGTCCAATTACTAGAAGGAAGCCCTTGGTCTGAACTACAATAATCCTAAACAATTTTGGAAACACCTGGACCAGCTTCTGGGTAGGTCCAAAAGAAATCCAACCAATCATGTTACTGTTAATAATACTACAATTGGCTGACCTTTACTTAATCTCTGAATGCTTTTATGAATATTTCTCCTCCAAAAGTACACAGCACTCTGGTCATACATACTTACCTAATCCACTAAATGACTTTCCTGAGACATCGTTTTCTTTTAATCAGATTTCACATTTGGATTCAATACAAGCTATAAACCAGCTCAACCCTTATGTTGTGTTAGGGTCTCCAGCGACCTGTTTCATGGTTATAACATATAATAACTTCCATGTAGTTGATCTTTTGAGAACGAGGCTTTATGACATCCTCCACAACACGTATACAAACACAGCAAAACTATGTTTTAGTTTGCACGGTTCTTGATCACATCCCCACGGAGGAAGAGGCTTTGGAGGAGACGGATGTGCACATTATTGTCCCGTAGGGAAATCTGACCTCTGCATTTGACCCATCCTGCGAGTGCTACCAGGGCCTCTGTCAGGAGCAGTGGTCGCCGCAGTAGAGCCGTCCTTGGACCCAGATGTCAATGCTCGGTTTGATCAGGGCCAGAACTGGAGGATTTTACCTCCTGCGCTACACTGTAAAAAATGTCATTGTAGAAAAACAGTAAAAAGCTGCAAATATGGTTCCAGGCATTACCGTTGATAATTTTAACGGTTTAAGACTGTTAAAAGAATCATTTTAACAAAAGCAGGAGTTTACACCTCTTACCCAGGCCTCTCACACTCATGGTTGCTTGTTAGCGAAAAATTTC